GGAGTCCAACAACCTAACATGCAGGTTTTTGGACTCCAAACTGCCCTTAGTGTGAGTGTGTGTGGTTGTGGGTCCTTGTGTGTCTCTGTGTGTCCCTGTGATGGACTGGGGACCGTCCAGGGTGACCCCGCCTCTCCCCATTGGCTACTGGGATAGGCTCCAGTCCCCCCCGACCCCATTAGGGGATAAGGGGTTAGGATGATGGATGGATGGATAAGTGGCACTTTCAACTAAAATGCCCAAAGGCTGATGGTCTACCAGTCAGAATTCAGGCTGTCTCAAACATTTCAGCCATTTCAGATGAAACTATCAGAAGAAACTATGTATTTAGACGCTTTTATCCAAAGCAACTCCCAAAGTAGACACAATTTTACAGCTATCATCAGTAACTAGAGGCAGCTTGCTAATGGTTTGCCTCCCGTTATGCGAGCCAAGGTGATTGTGTGTGGTTTCCTGGGGGGGTCTGATCAGAGTCTGGGCCTGCATGCAGAGGATCAGGTGAGCTCTAATGCCGCCCTGCCCAGATCCAGACCACAGCTATTCAGGAGGCTTTTCAGCCCGAAACCCGATCCGGCTCCAGGTCTGCTCCTGTCACTGTGCTGTGGACAATGGGATCCCTGAAGGAGAACAGCCCTTCTTCTGTGGAGCATCTTCACCTCCCAAACTCCCTCCCTCCCCGAGTCGTGATGTGCATCATATGGGGGGGGGGCTTACCTTGTCCAGCTCGTCGTGGAGCTCCGACAGGGTGGGTCTGATGAGTTTCTCCCCCAGGGGCGCCGCCGTCTGCCGGTAGAAGTCAATGTTGGGCACGGCGTCGATGGTGTTGTGGCCAAAGGTCCGCAGGTAGTAGGTGTTGGTGTGGGTGTCGTAGTGGTAGTGGTGCTGGCCCCCCGTGGACGAGTGCAGGCTGGTCTCGCTCATCACCGTGTCCCCGTTCTGGAGCCCCTCCTGGGGCGCCGCGTCCGGGGAGGCCGCGCTCCCGGAGCCGCTGGGATCCGCGAAGTTCACCACGCGGAACCGGCCTTTGGCCTCCTCTCCGCCCGCCCCGGGGTCGGAGCCCCCGGCGGCCGCGGCGGAGCTGTCGGAGCCCGGGGACTTGTCGGCGGAGGCTCCCGCAGCCTCCGCCACGATGTCCACCTGGAAGCGGCTCTGGCTGGGCGTGGGACCCAGCGGCCTCTGGCCGGCGTCCGGGGCCAGCAGCTCCGGGTCGGCGCCGGCCGGCTCCGCCGCGGAGGACGGCTCGGACATGGCTGTCAGTCAGAGGGGGGGGGCAGGGCGGGAAGGGAGGGGGGCACAGCAACACGCAGCCCGGAGGAGAAAGCGAGGAAGCCCGGAAGGCGCCCCGGGAGTCAGTCGGCACAAGTTTTCCACGGAGCCCTCCGCGGTTTGAGGTCCAGCTCTCGGAGGAAGCCTCTCTTCGCTCTTCCCGCCGGGGATATCTGCGTGGATCGGGACAGGATGCTGTTGGCGACCTTGCCGCGACTCCTCCTAGACTCCCGACGCTTCCCTCGCCGCTGTTATACTCACCGCACACGGCGTCAGAGGAGGGAGGGCTGCCGCGGAGCAGGCCTCGCGAGACTTCGCGGATCGAACGCGGTGTTCCACCCGTGGAGCCACGTCTCGCGAGAAGACATCACAATAACCAAATAGTAGGCGTGACGTCGGGCTAGCTCTTCCCCGTGGAAGGAAGCGATGGTGACGGTGAGGAGGAGGAGGAAGAGGAGGAGGAGGCGAGCCGAACGGGCCAGTGTGTGTTCAGGTGCCGCAGTGTGGCTGCGCAGAGTGTCTGCGGGGTCCCGCCTCAAAGCCGCACACAAATATGTCATATTCTCTGTCAGATACTCTGCTCTGAGCGGCCCAAAGCAGACACAGAGAACACACACGCGACCGGACGTTACGAGTTTCTGACCTTCAAGTTGGACAGAGAGATGAGATGAAGTCTAAAAAACAAGGAGTACATGTGTATTAGATACAAATGGACGGAATTGGTCAAAAAGAAGTGAAAGAGCATTCCACTTTTAACACCATCACACACTATAGGGGAAAGATGTACAACAAAAAAGAGGATTTATTAGTGTCTAAGTGGAAATAAACTTTAATTAATCCAGATTGAGATTGGGATGACTGACCTGTCAAGTTTAACTTCATTAGCTGTAAAAGAACAGAGATAAAGAGTAAACCTGGTATTTCTTATTTTAGGATGGAGTAAACACCACACTTTTAACACCATCACACACTACAGGGGAAAAACCCACGTCAAAAATGACTCTTTATTAGTGTCTAACAGTGGAAATAAACTTTGATTAATAGAAATTAAGATGTGGATGATTCACCTGTCGAGTTTAACTTCATTAGCTAACTTTATTAGCTAAATACAGATTGAAACTGGTATTTCTTATTTTAAACTGGATTAAACTCCACGCTGAACTCCTGCCAACCGGAGGACCATAATTAGTTATTAAAGTTCCTATATTGTCTTTACTCGTGAAATCAGGAAAAATATTTGATCTTTTAGCAATGCTACAAATAGAATAAAACAGGATAAAATCTCAGCTTGGAAAGGCGACTCTGGTAGTAACAAACAGTTTAGATACTGGATGGAAGCTAAGAATGAAAGCTAATTAAAAAGTAGACACATAAAAATGGTAATAAATCTAAAAAAAGAAGAACAGACAGCAGATATTGTGTTTTTTTAGCAGCAGTCACAGGATGCAAGTTATTAAAAAATGTTACGTAATTTTATTCTACCATGTTACAATATGCACCATTTTATTGTTGTGTGTCTGTTGGCAGTAAAGTGGGAGATGCTCAGGCTGATTGTGTGTATGTTGTGTGTCTGTTTTGTCTTGGCAGTGAAGTGGGAGATGCTCAGGCTGGTTGTGTGTATGTTGTGTGTCTGTTTTGTCTTGGCAGTAAAGTGGGAGATGCTCAGGCTGATTGTGTGTCTGTTGTGTGTTGGCAG